GTGTTCTACCTGGGATCTTGGCAGTTCCTCTTTAGACTTTTATACGACCAGACCGTGTTGGTTGACGTGATGAGTGATTTTAGTTTTAAATTTTCTCTTATAATTTTATCATGCGCCACGACATACTTTCTGTAAGTTTTCATTTGTAATTTCTCTTTCAACCTCTTAAATCTCTATTGTTACTCCCATATAATTTCCAGATTTGTTGCTGTAACAACCAATAGACTTATTATAACATCCACTTGAAAAGTATTACTGATCGAAACGTCGTGAATAATTAAATACATGAATTGTGCCAGAATTTGTCGACTCAATTATTGATTACAAAGATTTATTATTAATCTACCCCGTGGTCACTGATTAGATATATTTTATTGAAAATATGATAAAGTTTTGTAGAAATAGATTTAAAGTCTCTCTAAACTACTCTCCCAGACAGCACAGATCTCCTGAAGACGTTTTAAAGACATCCTCTCGACGTCGAATCCTTATGTCCTAAGAATTAATTATGTTCCCAGGACATCCATAGGATATCGTGTGCTGTCTGGGCTGTTGCATAATCATTTTGCCAGTATTTTATAAATAGAAATTCGGCGACAAATTATTTCGAAAATTTTTCATTAAAAAAACGGCACGGTCAAATTCTTTTCTAGGCGAATTCTGTAAATTGTATATCTAATATTTCATAATTCTTCAAGTACTTGCAAACAGTGTACTTGAATTTTCCTTAAATTATAACTTATTTATATTTATTTTGAAACACATACGATAATTTTTCAGCAACTGTTATTTCACTTTTCATAGCATTTTCCATTTGCGCGGAAAAGATAAAAGATACGCGGCTCGCGATTATGCGCATGCGCCTGCGACACGTGGCCACGCGCGATGTTGCTCGCGGCTCGCGATTGTCTGTCAGCGTCGTCGTCAGTTCGTTCGTTTCGTCTGTCAATGCTGACTCGACGACGATGATAGAGGCCGAGAAAATGTTGCAACTAAAAAGATATCTGACGCTCGTCGTCCGCTCGCAGCTGCGCTCGCCGCGATGCGAGACAGCGAGGGGTCGTCCGCTCCAACGTGGAGGTTATGTCTCCGGCTGCGCGCATTCCCGGAGCGCGACCCTGCGACCCGAGATTCGGGTGGCGACGTGCAACAGGACGTACAGCACGACGGTCCCGCAATCGTCGCGATCCAATGTCATCGATCACAAACTGACGTCGTTTTGCGACGACGTTAAAAAGGGCCGAGTCTCGGCGGACCACCTGAGGGAGGTTATCGACTTGTGCAGCAACAACGATTACCATTTGCCTCACAGTACCGGCCTTCTGCTGCTCAAATGTTGCGGCAACTTGATACCCGATTTGGACGCGGCCGAGAGAGATCACCTTGCAGACCAGGTACAAGATCATTTGTTTCATCCTGAATACCCGTGTACAGCCGTGCACAATATTATGTAGACAAGAAAAGAAATTAATGTCCATATTGCTAGAGCGATATTTTAACTAAAGGGAAGGTATTCGTTGATTGTACGCGTTATTTTGCCGGGCAGGTGTGGCGTTTGGCAAAAAAGAGCGGCGGAGGGCTGACGTTGGAGTACTATCACACTTTGCTGGGCATTAATGCGGAGAACTCCAAGCTTGTGAATCCCAAGACGTTCCTGGCGAACATGAGCGTGGAGCCGGATCGGAACACCTACAGTTTGTTGATGAGTGTAGCCACAAAGGCGGGCAACAGTCAATACCTGTGGGACATCTTATCCATAATGAAGGATAGGAATATGAACATCGATGAAGAAGCGATCAATGCGTTAGTACATATTTACGTAACCAATGGTAATATCGACGAGATTAAGCGAACGATAAAGCTGATGCAGGAGGCCAAACTGTCCACAGCCAAGGCGTGTACCGAGCTGGCGTGCGGATACACGAAACTCGGTGATATTTCGAACCTGGTCAAGACATTGGACAAAGAGCCGCAGAGTAACGCAAATCTCTTGAGGATAATAAAGACTCTGAGTGTGTCCAACAATGGCAGACACATCCCAGTTGTTTTGAATTTATTCGTGTCCTCGGTAGCGACGATCGAGCCCGAGATCTCCAAGACGATAGCGGAACTGATACGCGCTGATCGAGTTGAAGACGCTTACACGGTTATAAATTGTTTCGCGACGAACAACGTGACGCAGAATGTCGTGGAGGGTTTTGTAAACGACTTCATAAACGAATTAGTAATATTAAATGCGCCGATTGACGATATCGTTAAGTATACGAATGATTTTGTTGATTCTGGTTGCAGCCAACACGCACTGACTGATGCAGCTGAGGTCGGCTTGAAGCTGGGCAGAGAGAAGCTGTGCCTTACGATATTCCAGGTGATGAGAAACAGGAATATCGAAATACGGCCGCATTACTATTGGCCTTTACTGTTGAGAGCCTACCATAACGAAGGGGAGGCTGAGATATTTTCATTAATAAGGTCTATGATAAACGAAGGTGTAGAAGTGGATTCCGATACGCTGCTTCATTACGTATTACCGTACGTAAATACTGCCGACCCGGTTGCCACTTTACAGAAATTGCTGCTGAATAACGTACCAGCTTCTGTCTCGTACACGCCTCTGATATCGTTTCTACTGCATCGAAATCGGCTGCACGATGTAACACGACTGTACACGAACTATACACGCTACAAAGTGCATTACAGAGAATTGATAAAACCACTGGTACGCGCTTATCTCGCTACTAAAGATTGCAAAACTTGTGTAACGTTATTCACAGCATTTCCACAAGGGCAGGATTTCGTCAGTCTGTTCTTGGAGGCGTTAATTAAAGCCGAAAAGCTAGTTCGTATAGATGACCTACTGTTTCTTCTGATGGAATTTAAAAGATGCGAAACAAATATATCGCAAGAGGATGCGATCCTTCTCAAGGACACGTTGAAATGGAACAAAAACTTTCGCGTTACAACAAAGGCGGAGGACTTGATAGACGATTTGGTTGATCCGAAAGTGAAAGATTCAGCACTCAAGTTTCACCCGAGATACATGACCACCAGGGAATTAACATATTTCCTGGTGGAACTGAAGAGTTCTAAAGCCAATACTAGAAATATTCTACATAGATTGCTGTTTGCGCACTGTGTCGAAAACAATTTCAAGAAAGCCGAAGAGATACAACGAGCATATGAAGCGCACCAGTACGAGTGGATGCCCAACACAAAGTCGATATTGTTTGAATTGTATCTCAAACTCAACAAGTTGGACGAGGCCGAGGCACTGCTGCCCGACTTGCAGATCGTGCCCAATGAATACCAGTTAGATAAAATGAAAATCGTCATGTACGCTACCGCGTTGGTGAAGGCCGATAGGCTTACGAAGGCCTTCAATGTCATTGCTACATTCAACGCCACTTGTACTGGACCAAACGCTCAGGCGCAGTGTTGCACACTTTTGGAAACGCTAGCACAGAGTCAGTCTCATGATCACACGAAAAGCATGTTGTACCTACTTCTACAGAGAAATTACTGTCAAAAGTCCGTGGATCTGCTGAGGCCATTGGTGGCGATACCATTAGAACGCGATAACATCCTGGGCGCTGTAGATGCACTCGCAGAATGCGCACAGAAATATTATAAAGCGCCATTGGTATTAGATATATTGATAAAGTTGCTGAAACGGAAGTACAGTTCAAAATTGCCCGACGCGAGTGGCTACATAGAACAAGTGTACGATGTAGCAACAACCATCTATTCTACCAAAGTAGCTAATACCTTTCTGGCCATAGCATTAGCGAAGCTAAACAAGACGGAGAAGTTGCAAGCTTTGTTGCAGGTAACCAAAACGTTTCCGATAGTAATATCTAGTTTATATTTCTCTGGTTTATAACTTATTTTCAAGTCTCTCTCTGTCTCTCTGCCGAAATGTTTTAAAATTAAGTAAAAGTGTTACGGAACTTTTTAATATAAAAGGAAAACTGCGAGACGAATATTAACTTTTCGAGTATGTAGTTTTAGATAATTTTCTGAAATTTTCAAACATACAGTTGACTGTAACGTATTTTGATTTACATTTTTTTCATAAAAGTTTTTCATTACAGACACAAAACCTTTCCACGAACTGCCTTGTGTATTATATCAGTGATGCAAGAACTAACATTGGTATCGATGTTTATCTGAATCTCTTTAAAGTAGCTAATGCAAATAATTTGGATGAAAATGTGATGTCTGACGCACTTCTTTCCGCCTGTTGTAAGCTATATTTTTTCTGCACTGTAAAGTATATATAAAAAAAATCCTCAAGTTAATGCTAATGATATTTATATTCGTAGGTATAATGGGAGATTGCAACAGTGTTTTAGAATTGTGGAAAGTTATGTGCACGAAGAATATCAAGCCTAACGCACAATTCAAGGAGAACTTTATTCAATGTTTATCGTCACATAAAGTTCCGCTTCCCCCGGGAATGGAAAACGAGAATAAAAGTACAATAAACGTTAATTAATACACGTAAATATTAATATCACACGTAAAATATCAGCTATACGAATAGGATGATAATTTTCCAAAGATGGATAAATAGTCAGATAATAGATCTTAAAAGAAATTTAGTAAAGACAATCTACAGTAATTTCTAAAATAAATTTTTCATCTCTGCCATTTTAGTCTTTACTTATTACATCGTCTTTGTTATTAATATTATTATAATATAAATATAAATATTGGACAATGTTTACCCCCTGCTCCAGTTACTCCCCCACCAAATAATGTCATGTAACTAAATCACAATGTGTAAAATTCTGTATTCTACATTGATCAACAATTGCGATCATTTGCCGTTCGCTTCATGGAATTGTTGTATTGTCGGTGGGATGTTTGAATTTCCCACCCAAATTCTACTCGTAAAATATCTTGGAAATAATGGTAACGTCGTTTTTAAAATGTCAGGGCTTTTCGAGATATCGAGATAATAGCAGAAAGAAGCCTAAGAGCTGACACGGCCCGGTTTTACGTGATCCAGGAACGCAGTACGTTCTCTGTGGACATTGAGAACGTGGACATGAATTACGTAGGCCAAGTCCACGTTTGGGCTAAGCAAATTATAAAAAAGACCGCCGAGAAGAATTCAGCGGGGGTGGTGGAGAGCCTTTACAAGTTCGATGTGGATATAGCACAGACACGCGCCAAAAAACGATTTGTCGACAATATCGGAAAGTGGATGTAGCACGGACATGCGCCAAAACGCAATATTTATCGACTTTGATAATACGAATCGTGAACCTAGCTTTTGCTGGCACTTTAATGTTAAAGGACTTGTTTTGATTACAACACAGCAAGACATTTCGATCAAAAGAAAATTTCTTTTAATTAAGTTATTTGCATTAATTAATCAGCATGTAAGATTTTCAGTTACTACTTGAACCTTTCGCTACAATTGGACGTTTCAAATTCAATTTTTATAGTCTGAGCAACAGTTTTATCATTGACCATCACATATTTATACGCACGAATATTGTTTTATCAAACGATTGGAAGTTACGATAAATCCACATTCGAAAGAGATTTTGTTCCATTGTAAGTACACGTGTCGTTATATTTCTAAGCGTGATAAAATTTTCTAACGTTTGCGAGGAGCAACATTTATCCGTGACGAATTAGAAACAACATTTTATCTTTTTTATTTACGTATACATTTAAAGTGACATTACGAAACGTCTGATTCAATTATAATCAACACAAGTCTCAACGTTAAACTGTAGAATCTAACTCAGCACATAGCACGTTTTTATATAAATATATCCTCATTTTACTTGTATAACTTATATTGCATTTGTATTAGAGTTACAAATATTTTTTATATGTATATGTATGTATACATACAGTATCAACTATTGGGAATTAATGATAATATGATATCCAAAGTATTTGAATAATATGAATCGGCATCAGAATCGTCACAAATTAGAATAATCAGTATTGTAATATTCGGATGAAACTCTAATCTGCACCTAACATTTGTAACATAAGTTCGTATAGAATATTTGTATAAAATATTCAAGTAAATCCCATTATTAAACACGTAATACAGCAATACCAATAAATTAATTAATAACAAGGAATTTTCAACAATGAAATGAACAAGTCAAGAGTAAAAAGAGACTTTGAAACTACCACAGGGTTGACTATCCACCGTTATATTGAAACAATAAGTTTTCTAAATAAAATGCTACGGATTAAAGACTTTGAAGCAATTTTCCGAAGATTATTCGATACTGTTGGTAAATCTGATTGCTAACGGGAACAATTTTGTAACCCGTAGTCGATCGTCGAGATAGAGGGATCGGAAAACTTGTCAGAGCTGCACGAAACGAACGGTGATAGGGCGAAAAGATCGGAGTAGCTGGTTGTGCCAGATCTACATGCATTTTGAATGCGTACCGATTCCGAAAGTTAGTGTCACACCGGACGCGTTTCACCGCCCGTGTCGAGTCTCACACTTTGACACTGTCGGGCGCACACGAAAAGATAAGCAATTTATATGCTATTAATTGTAATCATCCTCGTTCTCGTTGTTAACCAGTGATTATACAAATGAGAAAGTTAACCGGTTAACTTTCTCATTTGTATAATCCAGGAACGGTAAATTTCTTTACGATTTCCATTGTAAATTCAAGTCGGAAGATCCGAAGTCACGTTACCATCGAATCTCTTTATTCGAATCAGTTTCTCTGCTGATTCTTTAACATCAATAAAAACAAATTCTCACTCACCGAGCTGATGCGCAACAGCGGAGTTTTATATCTGCCACGTAGCTGCGCTGATTCTGCAACAAATATAAAGTTGATCTTATAACAGTGTTCAACAAAACCAATATTGCAAAATGTGATTTTTAAACTTGTCGAACTTTCTACTCGAGAGAAGAAGAGAAAGATGCGAAAAAATTACACCGCGAAAGATTTTCTGCAAAGATTTCAAGTTTTTCTTGTTTTCTATCAATTCAAAATTACAGTGAAATAAAACGATTCGATGATAAACTGGAGAACGGATTAATTGTACACGAAATAAAAAATGACGCGAGAATAAAGCATAAATAATTCTTGAGACGGGAAACTTATAGTCAACCCAACTGGCTAGTTGTTTAATCAGTTTATTACACTAATATTACACTAATAAATAATTCCACTCACCAGAGAGTTGCTCCGCCGGCGCCCGATGCCTCCCAGGCCGCCACATCCTCTCAGACTCCCTCATTTCGCACTAGCACAACACTACACTCGCGAAAGAGGAGCCACTTACGATCGCGCGCGCTAATTACCGAAGTAACACACGGCACTCCCGGTGTTAATCGACTTTACCGCAACGAGAACGAGAGCGAGCGAGACGCCCAGTGAGAAATAGCTCGTCGATCGACACCGATGGACGAGTCCACTTCTCGCCGAGCGGGAACGTTTTGGCGGGAAGGACTCGCGTACGTACGCGAAGCCAACTTCACGCCGCTCGTGAAAACGGGAGCCGAAGGCGTGCGTTCGCCGGGGCGATTTCGCGCGAACTAACTTTCCTCTCGCCGCGCGTCACGCGCGGGGAAGCTCGAGTAATCACTGCGCGACGAGACGAGAATGAAAACCCAAGAGCTCGGTGTACGCGGCGGGCGCGCGCGGACGCGACGGCGGCGCCGTAGCGACGCCGAGCCGCGCGAGGAGGCATTTCGGCCGGGATTCACGGCAGATCTACGCGTCCCGGCGGATTACCGACGCGTCGCGGTCGATCTACGTCGCGCGACCGTTACGCTGGACAGTGGAGCGAACTTACCGCGATTGTGCGTGGCGCGAAACGCGACGAGCAACGCGCGAGGCCGATCCGCTGCGTGTCCCCGGGCTCCTCGAACGGATCCAACATGGCGCCGCTTCCCGGCGGCCAGTGCGCGACGCCACAACGGCGGTGCTACGCGAGTCAAGTCAACGGACGCGCTCACTCGAAGGATACGCACGTTCGGCGACGCGATCGGCACCTTCGCAGGTCTCCGCACGGTTTACTTACGAGGTACGTTCTCCGTGGCGGACGAGCACGACGTCCCACGACGCACTCGCGGAATCCAAGAGCTCGATCACGGGCTGTGGCACCGTTTAACTGCGCGGGGGGCGATCGCGCACATCGTCCCGTGACACGGCGGTGCGAACGACAGCGCGACTCGCGTCTACTTCTAATCTCGACGCGCAGCGGCCGCACATTCGCGCACTTGTTCCGCGAATACGCGCGAAAGACACCAACGCACAGTCGATATCCTCGCGGCTCTCCTGCACTCAAACGAGCCGCGACACTCGTCTCTAACGTGCACAATTAAGCCTCGTCTACATAGAAGTCGTAAAGTCGTAGTCGTAAGAATAATCAACTGCGATTGGTCAATTTCGTCAGACACATAAGAATTGATCAATCATAGTCGACTATTCTTACGACTACGACTTTACGACTTCTATGTAGACGAGGCTTTAGTCTCCTGCGCGAGATGATCGCGTTGCGCGTAGATGATCGAGATTCGCATGAAAGATGATCGCGACGCGAAGACACACGGAGCGTCCGTACCGCTCGACTGATCCGCGCGGACTGACTCGGCTCAATAGATTGTTTTTTCGACCGAGGTCGGGCGCTACGTCATTTCTCGGAATCCCGGCTCGGCGACCGAGCTGTTTACTACGCTACGCCGTTTTTTTTCGGTATCCGCGCTCGGTTTTCGGCCGAGGTGTTTACGCAAGATCATTCACGCGGCAACGGTCGAACGAGTCGGTTGTGTCCGCGTATCGTCTTCTTCTTCCTCCGGTTAGTTGGCTCCGCGTATCGTATCAGGGTGCAAACTCATAGAGCGAAAAGCCCGTATCAGACTACGGATTGGGATTGGGATTAGATTGAAATTTAACCAATCACAGTAAAGTTTACTAATCCCAAGTTCAGTAACTTTTACTCTGATTGATCAAATTTCAATCTAATCCCAATCCCAACCGTAGTCTGATACGGGCTAAACGGTGTACGCAGAAAATCGCCGAACGAGAGCCTCGACCAATGACGAAAACAGCGGAACGCTCGTGATTGGTTCAAGGCGCTCGTTCCGCGATTTTCTGCGTACACCGTTTCGCTCCGTGAGTTTGCACCCTTGGTCTCTCTCGACGCGCGTTCGCGACGAGTGCGGGAGGAAACCGCGCGATCGCTTCCCGCGAATAATCGGCGAACGACGTGCCGCGAAGCCTCGTGTCGGGGAAGTGCAAATAGTAACTTTGTGCAATCGTGTATCTTTGCTCCCTTAATTTCCTGTCGCGTGTGATCAGTGCCGGCCCAGTGAGAAATGATTCGTCGATCGACGTCTGTTCAGGATTGCGATACGATCCGGCATCGCAGCGCGATCTATTGTCGCTCCGGCCCAAGAATTCGCGCCCGTTTAGATCTCGATGGCACGGCGCGGGCACGTGTTGAGCGTGTGGCCGAGTTTTTGTGCCGGCATCTTATTCGGCGATCGCGTCGCACGATGTTGCTCGGCCAATTATATTTCTGCCGCCTTTTCGCGCCCGCGGAATCGGTCGTTCCGAAGTCAGTCTCGTCTTACAACTAGTGACGTGAGCATCCCCGCGCGAGTCCGCCCTTTAAGCACAAAGACTGCCTGCATCGCTTCCGCGTGTGCCCGCGCTCTTGTCTTGTTCGCGGACCTCGCGACCGGGATCTCTCTTCCAGCGTTTCAGCGCCGTTCTC